TTAGGTCATGTTTTTTTAGAAAAATGTATTTCAAACCAGTGAACAAGGCTGATCAATAAAGCCGAAATATTTGGTTATAGGTAATAATTAGTTTTACTCAGCGAAGCCCGTTTTGAAAACAATTAACTTTTAGAGATCTATTAACCTGAGGAAAAGAATAATGACGCTTCGGCAAAAAGCTGTTAGTAACGTTTCATGATCTGAGATGACCTCACGGGCATAAAAGTGGTCACAGGTACAATGTTCCGGTTCAGTGTGTCATGCTTACCTATGTCACGATGTTAAGGCCGCCCCACACTGGAACTCGCATGCGGGTTGCGGGTTTGCGGGTTTTGAGTTTGCGGGCATAATACCAATTCATAGAATGATTAGACCGTTCCCTTATGGTAACATCATGAATGCAGTGAAGCCGGTACACCTTCAGAAAATTGCATATAGTCGCAATACCAGCGCAACGAACCAAAATTCGACTCCAACGAAAAACCCGCAAGCCTCGCAGAACTCGCAGACCTCGCAGCGAGGAAAATCGAAAGTTGACTCAAAATCAACTTTTGGAATGCAATGCAAGGTCGCTCGCAAGCTAAAAACATGCAGACTCGCTTGTTAGATGATAGTGTGGGTCACTCAGCTTAGATTGTATTATTTGATTTTGAAGAAACCCGAAAATCCAAAAACTCGCAACCCGCATGCGAGTTCTAGTGTGGGGCGGCCTTTAGAGGTTGTTTTCGGCCAAACAAAGAACATTTCAATTTTCCCCATTGACTTATAATGGAGAGGTCGCAAAATTTAGCTGACCTTAGGTCACCGATATGAAACTTCCGAGATATACGAATTGTTCATACTGATTTCCTCATGTAAAGGTTTGAAAGTTTGAAACGAGTTTTAAACCTCTGGGATGTACACTGTATAGGAATGACAGAACCACGAAGCTTTTTAGAGGTATGGTTACTTAAGTTGACCTGGTGACCTGACCTTACGTGGCTTGGGGTCAACATCTTCACACACGATGAGGAATTGATGTATGATAAGCTATACAAAGTTTCGTTGCACGCGCAAAAAAAACTGGCAGGTATGGCCAAAACGCCTCCTCCCTCCGCCCCCGCCACTCGGGCAAAGGTTTATAAAACGTGGCCGGATTTCATTAGAAAATGGTAAACTTTATTTCCGTTTAAAAAGTTGTATTTCATGTAGTAGTTGGGCTGTAAACGAATTCCGACATTATAGCGCCATTCCTGGGGGTGATCAACGGTTCCAAGAGCAATATTATCTAGTTCCGTACAATCCAAACAAAAAGTATACCATTCGACGCGCCTGAGCGAGGCAAACACGATGCTGCTAAGTGCCAACATCGCGGCTCTGCGGCCGTTTTTTGCGAAGTTATTCACCAAAAAGGGAACCGTGCCTTGGGGCACTTGACGGTTTCTCATCAATATATTATTCATTCTGAGGGATTACCATATTTTTGTTAGTCCATGACAACTGCCAATAGCAATCCGCGCGTCTGAATCTTTGGTCATTTTTCTTCTGAGCGTCGACATATTTAACGATATTTATCAGCGTGTTGGGGTGGGCCATCACCGGCAATGTAATAAAATGAATACTGTGTGGGAAGGGGTAATAATAAAAATATTGCCCTCTGTGACGCCACTGTAGCTCTCGGGCGAACAGTACAGTATGGCCACAGAGAAAGTCACTGAAACCCCCTTCCAGACCAACACCATCCATGTAATATTCAGGTCGGCGGCGAAATAAAATTGACCCGGTACATCGTTGATGTCCTCGATAGTAGTGATGTCAATTACAGAAAATCGGAATACCGATACCAAACCAAATACCAACCAAAACCATGGGGAAATACCGAAACCAAACCAGCTTGGGAACATGAGAGAAATACCAACTTTTTACCGATTTCTTAGCCTCTTATGCATTAGTGAGGATTCATGATACCAACAAAATACCAAACACATTAGGATTGAAATACCAAATACTAAGTTGGTATCGGTTTGGTATCGGTATACCAAAAAGTTGGTATCCGATTGACATCTCTACTCGATAGCATGCAACTTGGCATCAATCTGCCTCAGGGGCCAGGGCAGCCACCAGGTCCGGGGTCTCGGCGTCCTCAGCTCCCTTGACGTAGGCTAAAACAGTGGATGAGCGTTTGGCTAGAAGGGGGCGGATAAGCTCAACTGTCAAGTTAACCCGCGCCGTGCTGATGGTCATAGTTTTCCGTGTCGTGCTGAGGGGGAGGGGGCTTTTTCACACGTCTAACTCGGCTCCTGGGCCACGTGGTGACACGCGGTAAGTGGCATTCAAAACAGCGTCAAAATAATGAAGAAAATAGTTAATCGTTTTTTAACCCGCGCCCCACTGGGGGGGGGGCTATTTATAGCCCCCCTCCCGTTTTTCTGCAATAACTTCCAAACCGCTTGACGGATCGACGCCAAACTTTCAGTACCTTCGGCTGCATCAATTTGACACCTTGTGTCAAAATTTGAACTTCGTAGCTACCATAGATCGGCCGGAAATGACGTCAGAGTGACGTCATGTTCGTCCGATTTCGACGCAAAACATTGAACCACGGCAATCACTCCCAAGAGCTCAGTTTTTAAGCTAGATCCAATTTCTTTGCATGAAAGGACTCAGAATTGACCGCGCTATCAAACTGCTATCTCGGATTTTCAAAATTTTGAAAATTTCGAAAATTTTATATAATAATATTCAAAATTTATATTTTTATATTTTTTTTTCAAAAAGTTTTTGACTTTTCGAAAAAACCGGAATATATGTGACAGAACGCATGATTATGACTATCTCTAGCAAGTTTTAGCTAAATATCTTCAAAAATGGCCAAGTTATACGCATTATTGCAAAAAATTCACAATTATTAATTTTTCAAATCAAATTTTTAGTACGTATTTGACATCGTACACCAATATAAATGGCACCATCGTGTTCCTGAGCTCAAACTGCATCCAATAGACACCTTTTTTATTGAAAAATTTTAACTTCAAAATTTGACCTTTTTTGACCTGAAAGTGACCTGACCTAAGCTAAATTCGACTCAAAATGACCTCGAATGACACAGACGACATCAAATTCGAAATCTATGGCCTAAATGGACCATAAAACATGTGTCACGTGACCGACGCATGATATAATATTTTCGTGACCTGTGATGACCTGACCCTGACCTGAAAATCAAAGTACAAGTTTGGTACCCTCAAGGTATCTAGAGCATCTGTTCACGAGTGTGGAAACCAAAAATGAGCCTGATCTGACTTGTAAGACGGCGGCCAGAGCCGAAAATGTGTACAAGCCAAAATGTAATAATTTTTACTTTGACCTAACCTGTGACGTCATCGGTGACCTCGAGGTCAATGAAATTAGGTTTCGCTCGACAGTTTTTTCCGGGGCTATCAGACGCCGTTTGAATTTTGACGATCGGCCCAGTAGTTTCGGAGTTAGGAGGGGGGGCTATGAATAGCCCCCCCCCCCAGTAGGGCGTGTTATACACAGACCCCAGTGGGGCGCGGGTTAAGTCAGGTGAAAGGTCAGGTCGCCAAAGGTCAAATTTTGCCTAGGTCAACGTTTTTTCTTCAAAAAGCGGCGCACAACTCGGGAACCAATACAGCTACCCAGCCGATAACTCAAAAACCAATAGACGCAGCAAAACGGACGAGAGGCAAACGAAGAACGCGACGAGACACTTCCGATGAGTACATGAAAGTTGAATTTCAAGGTCACAGGTCGGGTCAAGGTCAGGTCAACCACATGAAATTGGGCTTTCAGCAGCATAGGTCCAAAACACCTCTGGTGACCAGGACCTGACCTTTGACCTGACCGAAAAGTGACCTAAGTAATTTCGCCATTATTCCTTACGCTTTTTCGAACGTCGCTTTCCCCGTATCGCTACATGGCCCAGGAGCCGAGTTCAAAGGGGGTGTTCAAACACCCCCGCCCACCAGCAGGGCGTGTAATTCCAGGACCCCCAGCGGGGTGCAGGTTGTATTCACATTGTATTCATTGTATTCACATTGTTTCGGAACTTTCCCCAATCGACTTGGGGCTATTACAGTTCCAAAAGGTCGGTAACAGCGAAAAACAGTGGCGTCATCACATCATACATAGTGAGCACAACACAAATGCCGCAGCATTGATAAACATAACGAAAAATGATAATAATATGAAATGCATGCATCATGCGTCGTGAACTCGTGAAGTAGTCACGAGAAATTGCCAAGATTCCGTTCAATAGTTTGGAAACCGTAGAGCGATAGGTAATCAGAAATCGAAGATGGCAATTTGATTGTTCATGGTACCTATTGGCAGTCCAATGATGTTTACGGCATGTCTGTATGTCTATTCTGTGATTTTACACCTATGATTTTTTTTAACGTGTCGTTTTTTGTCGAAAACTCAAATCATGACGTCACTAAAACCTCGATATCTAAGAAAATTGGACCGATTTTTTTGGAAACTTTGTCACAATAAACTTCTATCAATTCCCTACATGTACCTACCTACACAAAATTTAGCACAAAAAAACGTACCTATGCTGAAATTCTGCACCAGCAATATTCCAAGTGTTCGTGCTTACAAACGGGCCAATTGTCTATATGGACTCTCAGCTGCTCCCGGGTCATGCGCAGCGCTCGCCGGCTGAGCGTAGCCAGGCGACAAGCCAGCCCGTCACCGCAAGAACGGCGCTGCCTCCCCCCCCCCCCCCCCCCCCTCCTCCCGACCCCGTCCCCCGACCGGTGCGGCATTCCTCAGGCCACAATAGTGACTCCCCTCCCTCAGCTGACCCATCCTCAGGTGCGGTGTACACTGGACAAATACCTCTGCCGGGGCTGACGGGGTCCATGTTTGAACAAAGGATTAAGGGAAGCCTTCAAACATCTCAGACGGAGTTTTCGCCGAAACTACCAGCTAGCGCCATCCACCGGTGAACGGCGGTACTAAACTTCATTCGCTAGTTCCCGAAACGACACACCATGGTAGTCTATTGGTATATCAAAAACGTATATCACATAGAGCACCTGTGTTAACAGCACAGTTAGGTTGGTGGTTTGAAGGTGAGAATCTGGGCCTTGAAGATGAAAGCTCGGCTGGCCGGTGTGGTGGGCTGCAGCGCCTTGATGTCGGGTGGTTTGACCGTCTGTCCAGCCCTGAAGCACGAGCCCTGCTGTTGCTCGACGAATACGAACGAAGTGGCTCCGAAGGCGCTGGCGGCGCTGTACACCATCCCGGTAGCCACCAGAAACACGAGCAGCGCCTTCTCCGTCGTACTCAGCTTTCTGAGGGAAGGGGGCCTCTCAGATGCGAAAAAATAAAAATAGCATGCAAGTCGTAAATTGATCTAGAACGGTTCGTCCTTGTGCAGCATAATTCATCGATGCACAGTGACAAAATTATTTGAGTCTATGAGGGCTGGGCAATGGGCATCGTGCCTGATTCTGTGGGACTCTTCTTGTAGGTGGCACGGGCGTCTGTCTGCCCGGCACCCAGCCTCATACATAGATGGCGGTGCGGCGGCTAGCGGGGTCCATCCGTCCCGTGAACGCTACACCCCACTCACATGTTGAGCTCGGGGCGGCTGGTGAGTCTCAGGTACATGATAGGCGGCACCACCATCGTGATGATGATGGCCAGCACGGAGAGCAGGTCGAGCACGTTGCTGAAGTCGGGCAGCGCCTCGCTGACCAGCACCAGAAGGCACATGCAGAACGAACGGAACGTGTACTGACGCCAGCTGCCTGTAGTAGAGGCAGACAGATGGGTTGTAAGCCTGTGTCTGTCCCAAACCTGTGCTTAGGTTCCAATCCAATCCAAAATCTCGTGCTGACTGAATACGTCCTTTTTTACCTCAGGACTAGCTCATCCCCATCCTTGATCACATTTCTCTAGGTGCTGGGCTGACGGTTGCCCCCACCAGAGGCTAGCCGGAGACGGCAGCTACAGCAGGCGCATGCCATGGCCCTCCGGGTTGGTCGTTTTAGAGACTGTGTGGCCGGTTCCACCGAAGCACACCCGATCTAGCGAGATGGACAGACTTTATTTGAACCACATATTTCCCTCCTAGCCTTGCATCCCATGCTCCTGAAATGGCTCCCACCGATTGAAGATATCTAGCCCAACACAAACAACCTAATAGGTATAAACGATTATAAAGGAATCATATTGGTTTCAAGTTACCCACCTTCTGGAATGGTGAGCATTTCCTCCAGTTCTTGATACAGCGGGTTGATGTAGATGATGAAGGAGGTGAGAACATGCACCAGCATCAGACTCTGTCAAGGCGGAAGACAGGCATCACATATCGCGGAGGCCCGAGGGAGACGTCATTTTATTCACAGTATTCACGGCTAGATTTATTTCATCTTCTATTTCTTCCTTCATCGTCAGCTCGTAAACGTGATTTAGTTTTCACACGAAAGCGAGCGTTATGAGCGGTGTTCAGCCAGTCGTAATGGAACCATAAATAATATCATCGACATTTCTTCGAGTTGGCTGCACCAAGCCGAAGACATTTCAAATCTATTGCATCGAAGATGTCGCCTACATACTATATTTCGGCGTGCCCAAGCGATATCTTCTGAACCAATGGACTTTCTGCGAAGACCATTATGTCATGGCTGTGTCTTCTTCGTACCCAGTCAGTGCTCGCATTCACCTGTGTGAAATCTAAGGTGCACCTTACAGGAGTGGCCGTAGAGAGGTGAATGCAAAATATTGTGCTGTTTACAATGCAGTCTTCTGATTGTCATCACGATCACTACTCATCTTCGACGTCTTCGGCGAAGCTTGTATCTACGTGAGGCATTAGGAACGCAATGCAATTGAAGAAGTTGCATTAAAAGAACAACAGTATAACGAGCTGAAGCACGCACAAATACGTGCATTTGCTAACCAATTATTAGACAATGATGACCCTGCGTTTTCAATGCTTTACTGCGCCCATTCATTTCATATTCACCCCGGCTGAAAAGTCACGATTTGTGTGGATGCCGTTGTACGTACAGATAAATAAATAAATAGATAAATCAATACAACAGTAGCCATTTCTGTAGCTCAATCATTTCATGATAGTCTTATCAAAGCCGTAAAGCCACGAAATTGTATCATAATGGCGGCTTACATATGATCTCCACTTCAAAATATGTTCCAAAGGGGCTCTTATGCGTACACTTTTCAAACCGTCACTTGATTTCCGTTTCTTTCACACTATGATTGCTATGCTATCGTGGCTTCCTCTCGATAAGTATCGACAGTGCATGCCAATCGGGCTTGGCATAGAATCAAGGAGCGACCAGGCGAACAAACAGGCCAAAATATGGATTATGTCATACCGTCTATGCAAATGTGATTGTTTCGCAGCGATTTGTGAAAAGCTCGCTTCCATTTAACGGACAAACTGCGGTTAATATTGCCTTTGTTTAAGTTTTAATAACATCTACGATGGAAGGTACTCTTTCGGCCACGCTGAAGTCATATAACATGACAAAACTAACATCAACAAATTCTCACTCTATACCTATCCAATGGCCACTTCTCAGCTTCCGGGGCCCGGGGGATTCCATTGACATACTATCATGAGTATTGATGAGTGCATGACGTTCTCCGATACATCTGTCCTTATCTATACGCTAATGACTCACACCGTATATAGTCACACTTTCTCGTCCCATCGTCGGCTCACCTGTATAGCCAGAAGCAGGCGGCCGGGACCCATGTTGTGTATGATGCTGGAGCGAGCCTCAGAGCCGATCAAGGTATAGCTGGTGGCAGCCATTGAGCTCACCATAAGGCTCACCACTGTCGACAGAAAACAGAATAGATAACCACGTGATAGGAGCACGGCGGAAAGGGCTTGTTGATTCCGGTGGTAACCATGTTTGGGTTTGCGAACAATCTATGGAATAAGTTATCTTTTCTGGCAAACATTACTTATGGGCTATGGCATACATTGTGTTACGCCATCGAGTGTTTTTATTCAGAGGTCACAATAACCTTCGCCCCAGTGGGCGGGGGCATATGTTACCAGTTACCACCCTGCCGCGTTTTTTTTGCGTGTGAATAAAAAACCACGGCGCCTAGCGCGGCGCCGCTTGGGGTAGCTTTTGGTACATCAATTTTGGACAATGTGTGAAATTTTTGACCCCAGGTCATGTCAGGTCAGGTCACCAGGTCAAGCTAACTGACCAAGCCTAAAAAAGTTTGCAATCATGTCCAGCCTGCAGTGTTTGTCAGAAAGGTTTTAAACTTGGTGGATTGCATGATGTTATGGGCGCCTACAATTTGTATATCTCGTTTTTATATCCGTGACCTAAGGTCAGGTCAGTGGCGTGACCTTTCCATTACAAGTCAAGGGAGAAAAATGAAAATGCCTCTAGATCCGTGTGCAGCATAGGGGAAGTTGGGGCAATGCCGGAGTTGGGGCAAAGCCGAAATTCGAGATATTTCTAAAACCGTACAACATGGATGCCACGTCTCAGTGATGCTCTGAAGCTTAAGTGACTACAATTATCGCATGTTTGTTACGAGTCGTCATTTGGAATACTTCGGCTGTGAGGGCGCCAAAAGCGTTTTCAAGGTACGTTTCCCTTGTACTACATGCGCCTTTGAAGCTGCATATCTTACTCATTATGCTACCGTTTGTCTGGCCAATTCGGTCAAGTAATCTTCAGCATGTCTTTGCATAAGTGTGCTGCCTATTTGAAATTTATACAGCACGTTTAAAAGTTATGGGCCTGCAAATGAAAGTATGGCTGGCTGGGGTAATGCCGAAAACGTGCAATTACGCACGTTAAAGCACGCTACGTGGACTTTACTGCTGTAGAATAGCAACGCGTATTTTTAGTCAAACAAATTACACTTTCAGCCGGCACAACGGTCTGTTACCTATAAGGAATGATTTATCTGGTATTTTCTTATTATATCACACAATTATAACTTCCAGTGTGCACCAAACGTCCTCAAGCTCTTAAAACGCGTGTCAGCTTTGATGAATTTTGGATAAAGTTTGAGGTAAATTGGCAATCAATGTCGGCATTCCTCGTAGATCATTTATCCCATTTTCGGCTTTCCCCGCAGTCCGGGGCAACGCCGAAAAAGTCAGTTCTTTGATATTTTTAGTTTTTGCGCTTAACGGTATGCGAATTCATCAAATGCGCCTGGTATGTTTGAAAGACAAAAGACTGGCCTCTCGAATGACGCCAACAAGAATAGCCTACTCGAGGGCAGCGCTTTTCGAGGAGCGCTGTGGCCCGAAGGTTTGGACTTTGAATTGTGAAAAACGCCCGCCCGCCGGAAAACGCAAACACCGCAAAACGCGCAAAACGCACGCCCGAAACGCCAACGCAAACGTCGCAAAAAATAAACAAACGCCCGCCCGCCGCAAACCGCAAATAAAAAACGCAAAAACGCCGCAAAACAATAAAACCGCCCGCCAACCGCAAACAAATTTAACACCGCAAACGACGCAAAAAAAAAGAAGAAAACCGCCCGCATCGCCCGCCCGCCCGCCCGCCCGCCGCCAAAGACAAACACCGCAAAAAACACAAAACGCCCGCCCGCCGCAAAACGTAAACACCGCAAAACGTGTAAAACGCACGCCCGAAAAGCCAACGCAAACGGCAAAAAATCACCCGACCGCCGCAAACCACACAGAAAAAAACGCCGAAACGCCGAAAAAAATAAAACCGCCCGCACCGCACCGACGCTAACTGCTAACCGAAAACGACTAAAAGTCGCCCGCCAGCCGCCAAACGCAAACACCGCAAATAAGCGCCCGGCCGCAGCAAGATAATAATTTATCAGCGGCTGGCATACCGCTAGGCTGGTCATTTTCACAAATCAAAAAGATATCTGCAAAAATCTCCTAGATGAAAGCGCCCGATTAAAAAACGGATGGCACGTGCGTGTTCCTCGCCCCCAACTTCCTTCAGGTCAATCGTCATTTGGGTCATCTAACGCATTGACGTATCTGCAAAAATCTCCTAGATGAAAGCGCCCGAGTAAAAAACGGATGGCACGTGCGTGTTCCTCGCCCCCAACTTCCTTCAGGTCAATCGTCATTTGGGTCATCTAACGCATTGACGACCGGCTGGGTGGAATGAACATTGCGCCAAGAAACGTAAGTATATTGTCAAAAAGAATCCCCAGAGTGGTGGATCCCAAAAGTTTGAAACTACCACTTTGGCCCACTGGACGACACCTTAAACAGTTGCCGACCGGATGACACCCATTGTTTGGTCACCCACGCCATAGTATGCATCATGGGTGCGCCGAAATGACCAAAAGTCCCAATTTCCGGTGTGCAGGGTCATTTTCAACGGCACGTGGCACGTGGTTCTGGACTTTTCCGGCCACTTTGCGACATACCCATGGGTAGTGCACCGAATGGTGGTTGATCTGCAAGAAAATGGGGGGTCGTTTGGATCGTTTTCGAGCAATCTGCCGTGGAACGCATTTTTTCATTTTCCCCATTGGCTTAACACGGGAATTTTTAAAGTCACGTGGCACGTGCACCAGATGGTCCGCGGAGGGGAGACCCATACCAGAACGTAGATCACCTGGCCCACTAGAAATCCTGAAAAAATCAGAATATTTGGACCAGCCGTTTTCAAGAGCATCAAGTTGTACTGATCTCAGGCAGCTTTTGCCAAATTGTCAGGGAACTCAGATTTGTTTTTCAATAGAAAAACACAATTCTAAAGAATAGTGTTTTAACTATTGACAACAAACCTTCGGTTATGTTGTCTACCTTGCGTGCTACGGGCGTCAGAAAAAAAGTATTCGGCGTTCCCCCAACTTCCCCTAGTAACAGTCCAAATATTTCAGAATCACAATTATTTGGACCACTCGTGATGACCAAGGTGTCATTTTTGCTGATAGCCTCTAGAAAGGTCATCCGAGGTCATTTGAGGCTACAAACAGATTTTTGCCAATAACTCGCGATTGGAAAGAGATAGAACGCTGGGGATGGTCTCATTGTGTTTATCTTGTTGAGACGCATCGATTGATATGCAACATGACCTTTTCCGGTCAGGTCATGACCTTGACCTGAGGTCAAATTTTCAAATTGACCTTTCAAGGTCAAATTACATATGGTTCATTCGACGCGTCTCGGCGAGAGGAACACGATTCTGGCAATAGAATTGTCGTGGCTTTTTGTAGTCGAAAGTTACTGTCGAAAAACACTTTTCGTAAAAACAGCTATTTTTGGAGTTTTGCCCTCTGGAGGCTAAACCGTTGATCTGAGGTCAATTTTGATAATGTTCTTATCAAAAGAAGAGTTCAAAAGCTATCGATTGCTTTTCCATGCGTTTTTCTAGCTACCATAGTTCCTGAGATAACGGCATGTTTTCTGAAAAATATATTGACCATTTGCAAATTTTGACCTTTGATGACATCTGCTGACCCCAATACTGCTCTAAGATGAAAAATGACCGAAATACTTTCAAACGTACGCATTGAGAGTTATCGACTGCTTTTCACCACGTCTTTCTAGCCCTCTTAGTTTTTAAGTTAGAGGTGGGTGGTAGCATATGCCCCCCCCCCACCCCCCCACCCCCACCCCCACTAGGGCGAAGCTGGCTGAGACCGCCACTGGGGCGCGGGATAAAATAGGACTAGCACACGTCACGCTCGTTAGATGTGGGATGTGTGTACTGAGATGTGAATACGTTAGATGTGTGTACTGAGTACCTACTGACGTACGCGTCTACGTACGTTTCAAAGAATAGCTCCACCGATGACTATTTTTAGAATCGTTCGAAACATCATTTATCTTTCGCAGACAGACCTAACAACCACTCAGCAGTAAATGTAATGCGTCACTCCGATACGTTCCCTGAGCTGCGTCACGTTTCTTACAACTTGGTCCACATACGCCAGTGAAAAATAGCGTTCAAAGGTAACACACGGGGAACACGGGACGGTATAGCAGAGCTACCCCGTACACTAGTTCGCAGTCAGTTTGTGTTTGGTAATTCGTGGAATGCCGTTGGCTGCCGGTCTGCCCGACAGCGGCCGGCAGCTGCCTTTGACCCGCTCGGGGCTGGACCGCCGGCCCACGCCGATCAAAATGCCGGAGCGTGCCTCATGCCGCGGCGGCATTGAGTGTGGGTCGGCCACCGGCAGCCGCGGCCACAGAGACGTTCCCACGGCATCCACAGACCGGTTGGCAGACGACTTCGACTCACGGACCACGCCCAGTGAGTGCTATACCTTTGGTCGCCATGGACGGACGTGAGAGGTTACCGGCGCGATCTCAGCGGCACCTGAAACCGACCATTGGCCACTCCTGGTCCCCTTGTCACAGTTCCCGGGACCCCATCGCATTGCATCCACCGGCTAATGGTCATCCAATAAAAATGAACGAATATTGATAGGCATATGTAGATCACTACATTGAAAGCAGAATGTCAAACCCAAGGCAGCCCCACTTTGGCTCTTTTGTTTGTAAACATACTCCAAAATAGGGCTTGGAGGGACATCAGATGTTGAATCGGGAGAGAAATGAAATGCCTTTGAGTCCACATGACAGACGCTTCTCAGAAATTGTGGGCGGCGAGGCTAGGTGACTAGCTGACCAACTATTTATTTTGATGTTCAGCACATTGAAGGTACGTACCTGAAAGGCTTCCCGAAACCCTGCAAATCCACACATATTCCAAATTCCGGGGAAAGGTGGACATTCCAGTAACAAGTGTTCGAGTGGATACGAAAGGTAGGCGTATTAGGACAGCATATATGATAGGTGGCAGGCCAGACCGTCACTTCGTTTGTCGCCAAAACCCTGGCCCAGTGTTGCTGTCCTACTCCTGCCCAGCCCGCCTTCGTTATCACTCACCAAGAAATACGGCGGCCAGTGCCGAACTGAAGGCAGACCGGTCTCGCATGTCTGCCTGGATGGTGGGCTGCACACCGCCGGAGCTGAAGCAGTTGGTGACGCCGCTCATGCCGACCAGCATCCGCAGGGGTGAGGGAGGGATGCGTGGGGGAGGCGACGGACGGTGACAGAAGTCGGCGCAGAGCTTCATCAGCAGTAGCACCCAGGAGGCCATCGAGGTGGACAGACCCAGCACGGCCACCATCCTGTCAACCGGAAAAAAACATAGCGCTGAGATATTACACGGGAAGGTGGCGGAACCAAACTTTGGTCCCACTATCCCCACAATGTGCACAAGACAGTGCGCAACAACACGGAAGGGTATCAACTAGACGATTAAACATACAGCCCTCGGCGCGGCGGCAGAGTGGGAATCCCGACAGCCAAATAAATGAATGCCAGTGTAGTGAAATGTAATACACCAGCCTAATGTGATGTCTGTCTGCCCTTCCCTGTCGGCACCCATGTTGTGTACTTTTATAGCCACCTGACGGCTTGAAGGCAGAATAAAAACGTGCATACGGGCATTGAAGGAGTCTGTAGTTTCCCATTCGAGCCGCATTTAATGCCAAATCGACAATGTGTGCAACTGATACAACGGGAACTTAAATGCACACAGGACCCATACAAACAAGCAAAAGTCCACTAACACGGAAAGTTTCAATTGAATCATTATAATCTTCTCAAATAGTCTTGTGTAGCCTGAAATCGTATACATCAGCTGTGTCAGTTCACCCAGCATCGACTGCCTACATTTGGAAGTATTTAGGCATCCCCACGATGACTCACCAGAAGTTTTTCGGCGACTCGAACCACGTGAAGGGGCAGAGGAAGGCGGCCATGAGCAGGATCAGGACGCAGACGGTGGGCTGGGCCGGGGGGAAGACGTAGCGGACGATGCTGGCCACCAGGTCCGAGGCCAGCACCAGCAGCATCACGCTGCTCAGCGTGTCCACGGCCAGCACCGCCACAGAGATCAGATGTCTGTGCCGTACGGACAGTGAGGTCAGGGGTCTGTGAGTAGCCAGACAGCCAGATCAAAAGTCCGTGAGCACATAGAGAGGTTAGGTGTCTGGCAATGGCCGTAAGGAAATGCGGTTAGGAAAAAAATCAGCCGTTTGGTAGATGCCTGTCTTTCGGGCGAGTCTCCCCATTTTACTAACTTGGCCCAGTATCCGAGTGCTCGCTCGGCCATGACGGGATATGGCTGGTGGACGACCCCAGACAGAGACGGGTCCAGCGTCTCGACCAGCATCCAGCTGCTCGCCAGCAGGTGTGAGCAGAACCAGCTCTGGAAGCCCAGCACGGCCAGCACCGGCAGACCCAGCCAGCCTGAGGGCGGCACAGAGGGCCATCAGCGGCAGACCTAGCCAGCCTTGAGTCTGAGGGCGACGCAAAGCAGAGTAGGTATATAGAACATCTCGCAAACTGTCATCAGTGGCGGGCCCAGCCAGCCTGAGGGCGGCGCAAAGAGTCAACATCGGCAGACCCAGTCAGCCTGAGGACAGTCGGGTCGGCTTCAGGTGAGAAATGACGTCAAATGGTGGATCACAGCTAGGCATACACTATTGCACTCATTTACATACATCATGCGTTTATAGTAAATATCGTGTTGAATTAGATAGCACGATGTGATAGCAGTGCTTTCCAAAGTTAATTTGGATATATCTGTGTTTGTGTCCGTTAATGGGTTCTTGGTTTTCTCGCCCGTTTTCCGGGAGCCTATGTGAGGCACTCCGATGACATTCTGCGGTGGTGTTTTGTCATTGAAGGGTCACGATAATCCCGAGGACCGGCACCTAGCCACAGACAAGGAAACGAACATATTAATTTACCACACCGTTATGCATCAAATCCTACTATAAACACGACGGGCGTGATTACGGTGACCGGTTTTTATTTATGCGGAAGCTATTTCATCTCATGCTGCTGGTGATCATTAATTCTTAAACGGTCGAGCCCCCAACCGCAGGCACAGCAACAGCGGGCCTGAGTATTTGCACCTCGACGACTGTTTGCATAATTTACGGTAACTTCCTCTTGGGGAGGGAAAGGAGAATCATTCTCAATGAAGAATACTGCCGCCCAGCTCAAATCATGCATAACTAACTTCTTTCATCACGAGGTGGTGGTGATATCGTCGATATTTCTATCGGAATGGTAAAAGCCTGTGGCATTGAGGAATATTCCTTTGTCACCAGTGACCGGAATTTCTCACGGAACGGCGGTAAAAATATTGAAGATGACTTTCTTCGTTACATCATTTCCAGGTATATCCCTGAAGCTATAAATAGTACGACATAGGACCCACTAAATACATGTGTGTTATTTTCCATGTACATTGTATACAATGTACCTACCTATTACCTATTACCTAACAAATGCTAGCGTCAACACAGACGTTTAGCGCCCGTAGATGAGCAGACAAAACGGCCGCAAAAGAGTACCAATGCATGCAATGCTAACTACATAGGTTTACTTACAATACACATGCAAGCATGTGTATTGTGGCTGCCTAATTTTTAAGTCTCGTCTGCGCCTTCGAGTAGTAGGACTCACCGAGGAACGCCATGCCCTGCGGCACGTTCAGCAGGTTGGCGCCCACGGAGGTGGACGTCAGGAACACGGCTGCCGTGATGACGCCGTAGCCCTCCTTCTGGAGGTCACAGGTGCCGACTGAGGTCTGTCGGGTCGCTGACCCAGCCCGGGTCGTCGGGGCAGACACGGGGCCGGAGCCGGGGGCTGAGGCAGAGGCTGGGACAGGGGCCGAGGCAGAGGCTGACACAGGGACTGGGTCCAGAGCTGAGACATGGGCCGAGAAATGAATGGAACCTGGAGCTGAAGCGGGTGATGAGCCAAGAGCTGACACGGGAGGCGAGCCGGCAACTGAACCAGAAACTGCATCAGGAGCTGATTCCGAGCCTGCCGCTGGAGGCGATCCGGCAACTGACTCTGACGTTGAGCCCTGGTCTGACTCAGGAGCTAACTCAGTAGCTGTTCCAGGAATTGCCTGTGGTTCTGAGCCTGAAGCTAGGGTAGGCGCCGAGACAGGCGCCGAGACAGGCACCGAGACAGTCTCCGGCCCTGGCGTCGAGCTGGTCCCTGGTCCAATGTCCGCCGCTGAGACCGAGTGAAGTCCGTCGTCTGTCGACGAAAAAATGATTGTTCATAAGACGATAGTTGGGGAAGACAGCTGATTAAACTGATGAAGACTGATGAAGACGAATTGGACACGATTGCCACACATGTGTTTAGATAGATGCCTGTAATTTTGGGTGTAAGAAGAGTTCAGCACAAAGATGCTTGTAAGAAATACGGAAAATAAAGGAGCACATGACTTGATTAGACGAAGGAGACGCTCGAAGTAGACTACGTGACTACTAGGGGGGTAAGCGAGGAGTGGTGACCGGTGACTTCAACTCCTGGCCAGGAACGTATCCAGTACGCGAGCCGCCGAGTTCTTTACTCGGCGTCTCTACAGAACAGACCCGTGAGACGCTCGCGTTAACGCTAATGACCACCTGTGCAGACTAATTAAGCAATGTATGTGCTTGCAAGCAGCAGCGTCGTATACGATTAGAGCCTGCATTTCCATATTCACCTGCGGGGTACAATGACCATGGGGCACCGCCCAAACTCAAACTGCTCAGCAACAGAGACTCGATGCCTATTTCTTCTCAAAGACTACAGCATTTTAGGCGCAATTTCAAAAAGTTAAAGACCAAATTCAAAACGTTCACGTGCATTTTGAATGTAAACTTTTTGAATTTGGTCTTTAAATTTTTGAAATTGCGCCTAAAAAGGTGTAGAAAAAAACGCAGCCGTAAAGTTTTCTCCGATTCCCTGCTCTGGCCTATAGTTCTGGCATTTGAAGCCTGTATGCTATTTCTTTAAAAGGGTGGTTGAAAGAGTCTTTTTGCAACTCGCCCTTTGTAAACGTCATGACACCTCGCACGTATAAATAGCGGCCCGGTGTCCGGAAGCTAAGCATTACTTCAACCGTGACTGTGAAAACCTTTACGAACTGATTCTAGTAAAACGCAAACCACTCATCAGCAAATGAGCCGAAAGAGGCCGAGCTCAGAAAAAATGCATGGTGTACAACTTGCTGCCTCATGATTACAGTTTATTACAGAGTTACGTTCATAGTGAGTGAAAATTGGCAAGCATCAGGTCCCTAAAATTGCCATGCTTGGCCTTTATTTCTATGACATCGAATAAAGCTATTCTTATAGAGACGTCGAATGAATTTTAGTCGTCTCTGTTTGTTGTTTAAACCCTCGGCTGAATATATCAATCAGTGGTTTACGCTTAACATCGTAAGTTTATGTAACAGACAGGCATTAAATTATACGAGGGGGCATTTCAAAGCTTTCTCTGGCCCTGAATCGTTATGCTGCTGTTGCCGCATGATTGCCACTTAATGCATTTGATGTGCTTTAGCGCCAGCTTATATCTGGCAATGGTTCTCACAGTTCAAATCTCAAAGCACCTGGAGGTTATATGAGCTTCTCCCATGAACATTATTTTCAACACATGCACGGCAGTCTCCAGTAGTATGGCCCTAGGGCGCACTTTCCGTTTGTGCAAGGCCAGATGCAAATGTATTCGCCAGAATTCATTGGGCTGCAAAGTGCCGAATCGACTACCAATCAGACCCAAGGCTACCAGAACTGCAGGCTTATTCTACGAAATATGGCGCAAACAAAATATACCAGTCAGATCAGCCACAGGCCCACAACAGGTGCGCTCCTGATGCCGTTGACTTTACTCCTGTTATCATGAGGGTCTTTCCCTAAGAAATACATTATAGAAACACTCGATTTATGCATTGCAAATGCATTCATCACTTAGCTCATGACCAAGTGATTGATTACTTTGTGATGCCATTTGAGGCTGAGGAAATAGAGGCATCAATGACCACGGAAACGTTGGCTTGCGATCGGCAATGGCGTGAAGAGAGCGCTAATATTCGCTTCGTGCAGCATGCTATGTGAAGTAATGGGCTTCTATAGTGATGCGACAGGGGCCTCTGTATAATACAGTGTGGTAGCAAGTGTGGTGGTAACTGGTGCAATGGAGAACTGACCTGCCTGGTTAGCTCCTTCCGAGCCATGATGCTCCATGGGATGGTTGGTTTTGTCCCGGGCGCCTGACGGTTTACAGCAGCGTTGACACGTCTCTGGTTATCCTCCATTCATGTTGCCCTTATAAGATGCCTTTATAATATAAGATGTACTTTTTGTACAATGAAGCTGTTATAAATACCGGCGTAGCGTTATGTACCCTAGCATTTTGTTTTCTCCCTCGACACTGATACCAAGAAAACGAGACATTATTCACCAAAAGGTTTTCTTAGAGTCAACGTTTTGCACCCAATACGTGATTTATCTTACATCGATTCAAAGCTGGACCACACTGAAATAAATTGGGCAGCCAAATGCAAATCTAAGCAATTTCACTTTTACTAAACTAAAGTAAGGTAAGGGGTGGCTGGAGCCTCGAAGAAGCAAGCAGTAAAGAGTTCCGCGTAATTAAATTGCACACGATTTAATATCGATCTAAAATGACGCAAGAGCGCAAGAGTCGCCGAATTTGCCGATGTTTGAATGAAATGGAAAAATCGCAATATCTCGTGGTCAGATGAAAGCCCTTCTTCCACTTACATGGATGTTTTTTATGGAGTAAACGAATGAATGAATGAATGAATGAATGAATGAATGAATGAATGGTAAATGAAAAAACTTTGTAATTGCTGTAGGAATATAAAATAAAGATATGCAATAAGCGTTAATGTAGTGACTGTTCATACTGATAATCTCCAAAATATCTGAAAACAATGCCTCTCGATTTATATTTTATTGCATGACAAGGCACAATCATTAATCAGTCACGTTCGGTTCGAACGGGCTGAAAAGCACCAACACGTCTCACAATTACAGGCAGGTCGACTGTCGGAGCATAAGAAACGCATAAGCCAACGACGCTTAATTTTGCAAACAATATCAAGCGGCATTTCTTTCTAACGAAAAAGCATACCCATACCCAAGTTAACGTTGGGTTGTAGCTCCAACTCATATAACCTATTCAGTTGACAGCATGACTATCGATGCATCTACCCACACGTTTCTGATTAGGCATTGCTAGCACATTGTCTATAACTAAGTGGCATATGTTACATATTCATAAATACTGTTTGTTGTCATCACGCCACACAAAGCTCAACATATCGCTGCACAGCCAGCCACCCACCAAGCAAGGCTGGGACGCTCGTGACCTTCCTGCTCGGAGTTTTACCTACACACATCACTCGTGCAGCGCTCTCACACTAAGATCACATTGTTTGGGTGTACGTCACACACCGCAGTTGCTAGGCGCGCCAGGCGAAGATAGGACGGTGACGAGTTAAATCCGCCGGCACTATCAGACTATCCCGGGCTGTTCCAGAAACAGCGACTTACTCTGGTCCTTCTGTGAGCCCTTGCCGCATCTGGCCCGGCCCAAAGTCACCTTTTGCACGGTCTCTTGGCGAGAGGAGTGGCCGTGAACCTCACACTGCGTTTTCCTTGCCCCGTCACTTCAGTAGGGGTAGGCAAAGTACTCCAATGGCGCATCATCACTCGCTCATACCAGTTCCACGCCACTAATCAATCCAGCGGTCACCGCTCGCCTTTTCCGGGCTCCGCCACTCGCCCTCTCAGCCTCACACCACTCGCACCACCAGGCGACCGCTATTTGTCCCCTAACGTCTGCCTCTTGCCCCTCCGACATCTGAAGGCAGCCGACACAGCCGGCGCCAGTCTCCCTGAGAGCCCCTCTGTGCGCCTTCCTACGATCCGGGCACGGTCAGACCGACACTGCTGCCCATCAGGTACTTCTTGTAGACCGCCTGGATGGTGCTCTGGAGCTCCTTCAGCAGCGACGAGACCTCCTCGCCATTTGACTTTTGTTTGCGCGCCTCCAGAGCCTCGATGGCCGGAAAGTCCTGCTTCGAGCAGCAGTCCAGGAACGACTGGAAAGGTGAAACAGCGATGAGGTCAGCGCCTCAAACTGGCCTTGGTGTCAGATGTAACTAACCAGGGCGATACAACTGACGGGACTGGCAAGTTGCGATCTCGACCAAGCAGAGTAACGAGTAAAACCGACAGATAAGTTATCTTGCAACTCATATCTCACATTTAGACACAACATTCATGTAATCACGTCATACTGAAGAGGCAGTCTAAGCCTCACCGCCTGAGCTCTCTCGCCCGCCTTCACCATCCTCCGAGAGCGTTTCTCACCTGAAGAATGTCGCTGCGCTGCTCGACACTAGGCATGGTGTCCGGGGTGACGCTGGGGTCCAGGTCATCCATCCCACTGGCGATGTAACAGGTCTGCAGCTTTGAGAACAGCACCCGGTCTGCAAGGAAAGAGAGATCTTTCGTGAGTGTCGATAAACAGCACAAAAATATCCGGTCAGAGGGGTGAGAGGTCAAGAATATGTATGGGGAGGAGGGCTGGAGAGGGGGAGAAGGAGAGAGAGAGAGAGAGAGAGAGAGAGAGAGAGAGAGAGAGAGAGAGAGAGAGAGAGAGAGAGAGAGAGAGAGAGAGAGAGAGAAAGAGAGAGAAGTAAGCTGAAAGGAGAGAGCGAGATAAAACCATATCGTCCAAATCGACGGGCCTTAGCAGCCAGCGAATACAAAGCAGATCGGTAATAATCTATGATACTCCAACGCGATCTTCTCACGACATGTAATACGGGTTGCGAGACTGAGATTTAGATTCAGGGAATGGAAGCACCTGCCATCAAAGTAGGTCAATACGAAGCAACATTTCATCAGGCAGTATACTGTATGCTGTGAGGCGCATGGGTGCATGCGAATCGTGATGCACGGGTTGCGCCAGTCAAATGATGTTTATTTTATGGCGTCTGCGGTCACGGATAGAATAAAAACGATTGTTCTGCCGCATGCGATTATTTCGTGCCTGCTAAGTTGGCTCCAAGTTGGCTTTACGTTGACGGCAGTCCGTCTCTAGCAACAGCTGAGGTTGCACCTAGCGATAAGAGCTAGCTATGAGCCAGACTGTTGACGTCACAGAATCGTATGCCTTTGTTATGCCAGGCGGATCTTCCAAAACCACGCATCACACCAATCCACAAAAAAAAGAAATGAAATGAGGAGCAAAGGTAATTGCATGTGTCTAAGCAGATCTCATCCCGATGGTATGTTTCTGGGATGCACATTTCCATGCATGTCACCCTCTCAAATTGCTCGAGTCATCCGCAAAGCACGCTCCCATCTCAGGTAAACACTGATGATATTCAGGGTAACAATGTAGGATGAAAGCCGGCGGTGGGGTTGAGGTAAGCGTGTTGGACTCCAGACTCTGAGCACATGACGTGGTTGTAGTACCCAGTAGCGCAATGTCGCATGTTTTCATTGTTTATCATTGCCTGGAGAGCTTGTATGCCACTCCCCTGGGCACATCATGAGTGGCCCCTTGTGCCTGTATATGAAAGACCCATTCTCAACGACAGCATCAATGTAAAAGTAAAGCATTTCTGCAACTTTTGTAAAATATTCATCTTCATTGGCGGAATATAAATCGAGCAATAGTTATTCGAAAATAGTAGCAACAATAATTTCATCGATACAATTCAATGAAAACCGTGCAGGCCAACCGTGGCCCGTGCCCCTAATGAGTATGGAGGTAGTGGCGTGTATGGTATAGTTGAACGACCACCATCACTGCTCGGCTGCTCGGGTATAGTCTGGAAAGGCCCGAACATGTGTCCTATCCATTTTCAACCGTCTACAATTACATATCCATTGACTGTCTAGTGTCTAGTGTCTACCGGAAGGGACAGTATCAGCGGCTGTGACGTCAGCAGCAGCAGAATGAACTGAATGACAGCAGCATCAACTGCAGGTGGGTCACAGTCCGACTCTGTCTTACATCAGCTGCCGTCTGACGTGGCCCTGGGGCAGCAGACAGCTGGCCGGCTGCTTCAGTGACGTTTCTTTCAGGACAGCGATGCATAGCTCCAAAGATGAGTGCTCGGTTAGGACGGGGTCATAGGAGATTGATGTGTCAAAGTGGACTGTCGTGGGTGTAAAGCAAACGGTCGACAGGGATTTTCCATCTGATAGTTTTGGACCATTTTGCAGGTGTTAACACGGGGATTGTAAAAGTGGCACATTCCTGATAGTGTGTTAAAAAGTACAATCGTCAGTTAAAGAAACGTTTTAGTCGAGGGAAAACATAGGAGTGCTTGAGGACGGTGTCATTGGAGACTGACGTGAATCAACTTCCAGTGAGAAGTTCAGACCGAGATAAACATGTTAGCCGACAGACCAGCAGGCAGCTGAATCGGTTATCCTTCCGCACCCACGCCATATGAAGCCTCGGAACACTGCTCACTACAATCGGCCAAATCAGGCACCTCTGGCTGTTTTCCGCCGACACTGACTTGTGATGCTGCATTTGTTATTCAGCGACCAGCCGGCGTATATACGACTGTGGCGGAAGCCGAGACACCGGCTCGATATAGGGAGCGCCGTTCGCCGCCATCGACACGACGCGACCACCGTATCAGCCGCGCAGGTGTAGTCTGTCTGTCTGTCGCCCGCGCCGCCGGGTCAGGGCCGACAGGGGGCACGGTGCGACCGACGTACCCCTGTCTAGTCCGCCGGTCCCTGGGGCACCTTGTGCCCACACCACACCACACTGGCTAGAGGAGGAGTGTTCAAAGGCGTCACTCGAGTCCACAGGCGTCGCTAGCGGCTTCGCTCGAGCGGCACGAAGGCATGTGGTGTGGACCAAACATAAACATGCTGAGAGCGTGTTAATAACCAGTTGCAGGGCTCGCGCACAGGAGTGGCGACAGCACATGTAAACGACTAAGTGAGACGCCAATGACAAGCGAGATGCAGCAGGCGGTTCCATGGCTGCACAGTACGCGTTGTGACATACTTTGCGGTGGGGGTTTTCCTCTTCCTGAACAGGCCTCTTGATTTATTGCAAGCATATTTCCAATAATGAGATTGTGGGCATTCATAGAAGAGGGCAACCGCAAGTGACCAGCCCTGCGTTCATTGAAGCTTAACAAATTTGATTACTTCATCAAACATACAACAAAGACTTGTCCTGGAACTCGTTTTAGTGCACTTTTAGTAGTACTAAAGTATTTTCAGATGATTTTGATTGAGGCGCAACGATCTGATTGCATTCACGATGGCACACGACTAATTGATGGCTCAGGTCTTGGAAGCATTTGAATTTTGAATTGCCGCCTAATAAAAACATGACGAAAAGTTACGACCTTCTCACTACCCAGCTCGTAATTGGGTCTCATACCAACACACAGATGAGTGTCCTGATTTATGAATTAGCCGGCCGGCCTACCCCCGCCTGCGTTCCCGAAACCTCGTCCTCCGGCCGGGCGGCCCAGCCAGTCCGATCTCCGGAGGATTATTCGGGCGGTCCGCCTATCGGGACTGGCATCTGAGCTGGCCGGCTGGACCGCTCTGCTCTTCATCCTCCCTCTCCCCGGCCCCTTCCGGCACTCTACCACTGCGGTCCGGAATTCCAGGGAACCCGGCCGGGACGTGCGCCCAACGTAAACCGATCCTGGGCTCAGCTCATTTCACGTGAAAAACGGTCCAGTCGCCGTATCGATGCGGATCTAGTGAAGGCTCGCCGGACGTTTGGGAGGCATGGGTGGCTCGAAGCTTTCAAACAGTGCACTGGTCGGACGGTGCAGCGTGCACAGTGCATAGCTGTTTCTATTTTTAAATGATCTGTACAGTGTACAGGAAAAAGACAGTTGAATTGTCGGAAACAGCTGGGTCAAACGTAAAAATAGCATCAAAACCGCGCAATTTTTTTTTTTGCATTATTCAGGCATGTCGCATAGGTTCGATGATTTTTTTTAGAGAACTGAGAATCTATACACCATAAACAAAACGATATTGATAGTCATAATTCATTACGCGGCTATGCTTCTCAGTAACCAATTTAGCTTCACCAATATAGTATATGCAGCGTGAGTGTGTCCGTAGTCAGTCCCATGTTGCAGCAGCATCCAACAGCACGCACCATCGTCCAGAACATCGTCTGGGCTAAGAGTCGTGCTGCGGGGACCTCGACCGATCAGCTGATGGTGCAGAGATGGCACGGGCCTCACTCCCGGAGAACAAATCGTGCCGAGGCACCCAGCTCAGAGGGGCATGCTATGGGCATCTGGTCAGCAAAGTGACTTCCGTGTTGGTCAACAGAGTTAGAGATCGCAGCTATAGGTTATGTACAGGGATCCGCAGCTGCAGATCTCTGTACCGACAAATGGAGACTGAGCGGGCAGCTATTTACAGTTCAAACAGATGAAAGAGAAACAGCTCGGGGAGGTATCGATTATTTGAGTAAGCATGGGTTCCAGCAACGGATTTCGATCAGTTCATCATCAGTTGCTTTTCAGACTGGTGTTACCGATTTATGTCATCGAATGACATCATTACCGAATGGTCCAAGCGAAACAATGTGAATTCTTATAACTTGGAAAACAAATACCGGGAACGGGCTGCATAATGCATAATGACCTCTGCGTGAGATGATTTAACATTCAGATAATAAGCAAACGTATCTACGAAATGCCGAGCAGTTTCATCAGCTCAAAGTGCTTTCCTCTCCCGTTCAACCCTTCTGACACTGACTGATATACAATGACGTTACAAATGCCACTGGTGCTGACGTCCATCCATCGCGCTGATAATTGCTCACTTCCATCAGGCCCTGTCTGGCGCGGCTTGCGTCCCTGACACGTCGTGCCCGACCTGAGGGCCGCCCAGACACGTCGTGAACGATCTACCGCTCAGAATCGTGAGCCGACGTGGGCCCGACCGATGCACGAGCCAGTTAACGCCTGCTAAGTGCGGCCGGCAGGTACGGCAGGGCGGCGACGAGCCCCGGCAGCCGGTGCAGCGACGATACGACCACTTTGATCGACTAATGGACGGACTGAAAGCGGTGTAAGTACCGGCTTCTGAAAAGGTCAAGCACGGCCGTCTCAAACATCATCGTGGCCGAACGACGCCGGTAGCCGGCAATTCGCCTTAATGAGGCGGCATAGTGCATGATGATTGCATTCATAAACGTTGCACCAGCCTACTGTTTCAATAAATTATTCTTTCCAGGTGGCTTCGTTGCGTCAGTGTCATCTTCTCCCCAATCACAGACTTGAAGCCGTGAACGTGACATATGGCCCCAGGCCCACACTCCATGGTAGCATTCATTAAACTCCTTGCCAAGCTAAAAATAGTAACACTAAGTTTCCGTTAAGCCTGATAGGTCTGACCTTGGCTTTTAAGTAGCGGGATGACCAAATATACTACACATGAGACCTTCATCTGACAACACATTTCCCTTGGTGCAGGTAGTTAGATGTTTTACGCTGACTATAAGCACCGCACCGATTGTGATTTACCAAAGCAGCAGACATCAGTCTACTGATGATCATTCTGCGATAAGCTTTGTCAATAACACCGTCCGCGTCACATCCGCCCAAGCCGTTACGCGCACGGCATCTTTAGCGATAAGGCGTGACTCGCCTGCGTGGCACGGGCTGCAATCATGCAACATCGTAAAAGAAACAAATCCGGCAGACAGCCAGCTGCGGCCCGGCGGTGCCGCCGTGAATCAGTTGGCGATGGGCCAGTCAGACGGAATACGCCCAGCTCAATATCCGACTGACGTCAGGATCCCAAATCAAATCACACGGCCAAATTCCCCCACCGCACGCCAGCCGGCCGACTGAGGCGGCAAGCGTTCAAACGCCACTCGAGCACGGGCTGTCCCGTAGTTCGGCGTGAGGCGTGAGCCACAGCAGCGTAAGTCCTTCCTTTGCAACGGCTGCGAAAATCTATCCATCACACACCTGACAGCCTGTTTGAGTCGGCTCAAATTTGACCTGCTTGCAAACTCTTATTACCTTTTGTCTCTCACTTTTTTAGACCCTCTTGCCCTACACAGTTTATATGGCACCTCTTTTTTTTACCCGACCCGTATAACCTTACTGTCTGACCTTACCCGACCCGTACCCATCCTCTCTGACCCAGCCCCTACCACTCGTTGAATCTGACCCGACCCCTCTGACCTGTCCAGTCTGACCCTCCCGAACAGCTCGGCCCATGCTAAAGATATTCAATAGCCGGCGGCCAACCGATTGAGCCAGAGAACCAGCAAAACGTGCGCTTGGTGACACGAGTTTCCCGGGCCGCCGGCGCCGTCAGCATCCGGCTGACTATGTAAACGTGAGCACGTATCAGTGGCAAAGACCCCGATGTATAGTTGACAACCACGTGGGAGGCCGATGGGGCCGTACCAAACTGATCCAGGTTGAGCTCGTGACGTAGGAGCAGGTGCGGGGCTAATGTCGATTTTGAGAACATGGGGCCACATTGCGGGAGAGGAGAAGAGTTATCTATCTGAGGTGAAGCGAGGGAACGCGACAAGTAAAGGAGAATAACTTTTTATATCATCAAACTGCGATGGATATTCAAAGGTGACCTTGGGATGAAAATGATGTCACAAGACCTTTATTGGCAAGCGGTTTTCCTTGAATAGCCTGAGAAAGATTGAAATGAAGTCGAAGTATTTCTGAGATTTGATAGTTAATCTCCTGAAAGTATGTCAGGAGGATATAAACATCGCAGTTTTTATCACACAAACCTGAATGTGTGGACTTTATCACCGCAATCGTTCAATTTGAACACCGACGATGCTATCACGCTCATGAAACATTGCCGTTACTTTTCAATCATTTCATAAAAACCGATAACCGAACACAGAACTAGCTACCTCATTTCGCGATTTCCCATCTTGCACTAGTAAAAACGGCCCCAGGCGGTGCTTCCCAGACATCGTGAATGCCAATCATGGGTAAGTCGCGTCTCTTAGCGACATAATGGCCATGAATCGCGGCTGGGATCCCGCTGGAGGATCAAAACTGGAGACTTGACGGCCCAGAGACAGGCGTTCATCGACAAGGCCGAACGACAGACAGCTATACTTCGTGCACCGTCGACAGACAGAGACACAGACGGTGCACGGGCGCGGTGACGTCGTCCCGCCGACTAAATGTCATCAGACCGTTATCATAGACAACATACCGCACCCTGCCCACACTGGGATATCGCCCAGCTTATGCTGATTATTGCGCGATGAGCTGTGGTGGCTGAATAGCGCCGCGGATGGCTCTGCAGGCGTACTAGCAACCGGCCGGAATGAAAACAAACAACTATGTCGCGGGGATAAGCCGGCTTCTTGTAGTGCGGGAGGGTGTGAGGATGAGTTGAACAATGAACGAGTCTGACTGGTGGCATTCATGAGTTGCAGAAAAACCGACAGCTGAAGGATGTTGGTGTTTAAACGGTGTTATTCTGAATGAACTTATTGTATGTGATGATGTGTTGAAAAGGATAGAAGCTAGAAAAGTTATGGAAATGAAAAGGATAAAGTAGTGAGATGTGGGCATAACGTGTGTCGTGCCACAGCCAGGCATCTAGACGACAGAGCAGCAAATGTCTCTGAGTTGTGGCACATGCTTTTGCCCGTTTATATCGTGACGCCTAGCGCTGCCACGACGTGGCGGTACAGTGGAGTTTATGCCGATGGCCAGTGCACCGCCATAGACCCTGTCTTAAGTGCCGGCATGGTCCGTGACCTCGGGTAGTGTCCCGACTGTCGGCGTGGTCCCGTGTGTTTACTGCCAGCCAGGCATGAATTCCTGGCCAACTTTACTCTGACGGCGCGTCCCGTACCCGACGCTGGCAGCGCAGCTGCAGGCCGTGTGGGACAGTGGCTACTCCTCAATTACTAATAATTAGCGGTCACTGGTCACTCGCGTCAATCGCTGACTATTGGCCACTGGTTGGTGTTCAATAGCCGTATTGGAAAATGATTATTTGTTGCAGACTTGTTCACTGATCGCTGGTTAATTATTTTTGGTCGGTTAGGTATATCATAAGTCACTAGGCAAAGATAATTTACCTATCAGTACACCAACTATGGTCCCTGATCACTGGCCATTAGCCATCGATCACTGATCATTGGTTACCAACGACTAGCTGGCTACTGACTACTGGCCACTTCAATGAACACGATCATGATCTCAAGTCCGTGCCGGTATTTCTTGACCATTGACCAATGACCAGTGACCACTACAACTGTCCACATGGATGCCACAATGGCGATTCTGCTGACATGTTAGTATACTCGAGAAGCAGTGCCCAGCAAAGTGTCCCAGACGACTGGACAGGACAGACGGATGGGCAGACGGCGGCGTTTTAAGCCGCTTCAGTCAGCACGGTTTGGTGGAATTCCAGCCCTTCGTGACCGTCTTGTTTGTCACAAGAATTAAGAGCACAAAAAGTGCAAGTTTAACAACGGAGAGGTGTAAACACACCCAACAAAAATGAACTTGTTGGGAAAAGGGTTCGAATTAACACGGCAGGTGTGCCTTCCAAAAACTGGGGATAAGCGACGGAACTGGACTTGAAAGTCGGTAAACTGAGACGATCCGTTTTGTCAGCCAGCTAGCCGTCGGCGCCTCTCTGCTTTGATACAGAGCATCATGAAGCAATAGGGTTTAGGTCTTATCATAGGTAGTGAACAACATAATTAACTAATATCATGCATGCATATCATATCAGGATACATGCATCAATCAGCTCCACCCGTACACGACTCAACCCACGTCGCGTCCGACTTACCGTCGAGCACTTCATTGGTCGGCATGGCGAGCGCCGTCGGGCAGCGGACGGCGACCGTCACCAAGAGGAGCACCACCGGCACCATCGGCAGAGGCAGCGGGCACTGACGGGGCGACATGGTGGGTCTAATCGAGCTCTGTGACAGGGCGGCGGCACCTGCGCTCTTATACATCCCGAGCGCCGCACGCGGGACGACTGCCAGCGGCCGGTCGTCCGCCGACCGCCGACCGCCGCCGCGCCGTCCGTCACGTGACCCGTGCCGCCCGTCCACTGTCGGGTCACGTGACTGGCCGGCTGGCGTGTGGCGGTGCCGTCAGCGGCCGCGGTGGGCGCGCCGTCTCTCTGACTGCCCGCTCTGTCTGTCTGTCTGTCTGTCTGTCTGTCTGTCTGTCTGTCTGTCTGTCTGTCTGTCTGTCTGTCTGTCTGTCTGTCTGTCTGTCTGTCTGTCTGTCTGTCTGCCGGTGTCGGTGTGTGTGTGTCTGTGTGTCGGCCCGTCTGTCCGTCAGCCTCAGACGCTCGTAATTGCCGGTCCGTACGCCCCGAGGCGCTCTACCAAGGCCTGACGAGTTGCCGTGAGCGGGACGGGATGAGCGACCGGCTCCCCGTGCCCCCGGGCTACTGGCGCGGCACGGCACCCCTCCTCCCTCGCCCGCGGCGAAACAGTGCACCATTCACACCCGCTGCCCAGTGTCCATGGGCCGTGGAACGGCACTCGGCGACTCCCGCTCATGGCCAGACAACAACAACAACAACAATAACAGCAATAACAATAACAACGACAGCGTTACATCTTCCCCCGCGATACAAATGCTTGTCTCCCGATCACACCCAATGCCTGTCCGATCACAGAACAACTCATAGCAATTATGAACTGAAGCCACCTTCCGATCCACTTTTTGAACCTTGATTTGCATTGGGGACTCAGCAATGTACTTACATACCTCTCCTCTCCTGGGAATGGTGCTCGATGTTCTGCATGGTCGGTTGGAACATCGGAAGTTGTACATACTTAGCATAGTTACCCACAGCTTGCTCCTGCTGCTGAATATTCAGAACTCGGCTTCTACATGTAGTTCGAACGCGGCGTGAAAGCAATCGTCATCAATCGTCAATTATGATTGCCATTAGTAACGGCGATTGCAGGTCCTCCGAAATGTCACAGCATTTTCTACAGCATTGAAACAACTCACCGACCAATACTAGTCCTCTCGCAACCGATCGACAGTGACAAGATATCTTCCAATCGCCGGTCCTCTTAACCCGCGCACCGACGGGGGTCTGCGCCAACTTAGTACCGACGGGGGGGGGCGGATGACCGCCCCCCCCCCCTGAGATCTCGAGAACGAAGCAAGATAGCGACAAGCGGTAAACGGCATCGGATACGCACGGTCAAGATCTACAATTTTTACTAAGGTCATTTTCAGGTCAGGTCAAAGATGACGTCACAGGGGTCGAAAAAGTCAAAATGGCGGCGCTAAATATGGAGAGAGTTTTTCTCGAATAACTTTCGAATTAGTCAAGATAGGAACAAACTAAGGGCATCATCGTGATCCTCTCGTCAATCCGCATCGAATGATATATAAGTTGACCTCGAAAGGTCAAGGTCAAAGGTTGACCTCAGGTCACGTGACCTCGAGGTCATCATGTATATCATTCGATGCGTCTTGACGAGCTGAACACAATGAGACCATCCACGCGTCTGTATCTTGTTCCTGTACGGAGTTATTGGCCAAAAACCTTTGGTGACCTTTGATGACGTCACATGACCTCACAGCTGCCCAACAGCAAAACAGACCTCAAGGTAGTGAAGGTTGATCGTATATGAAGTCATGTATGGTATATGGGGCCATTCCGACCCGTTTTAGTGGTAAAAACAGGGAGTTGATTTTTCCCCCATTGACTTATAATGGGGAGGTCGCGAAATTGACCTGACCTTAGGTCACCGATATCAAAATTCCGAGATATACAAATTGTAGCTACTAATGACCTAATAACATCCTGCGACTTTCAAAGGCCTCCGACATCTACTGTAGCTCTGGCACGGTGACAAAGTTGCAAAAAAGTGACTTGAGGTTGGGTCATTCAAAGTGACCTGGTGACCTGACCTTGAAAGGTAGGAGGTTCAAACTTGCACACCATGTGTAAAATTGATAAGGGAATAGTCATACCAAATTTCGCGGCGCTACGCGCCGCGGTTTTCCCGCTATTCGCGAAAAACCTCAGGGGGGGGGGGCGGATATCCGCCCCCCCCCCGTCGGTGCGCGGGTTAAAGCAGGACGTCTAGACTCGACTCGACTCGACTCGACTCGCCTCGACTTTCATGACTCGAGAGTCGACAGTCAGGTATGACTCAGACTGCTCGAAGCCCCCAAATGACAAACCAACGCAACATATCTTCAAGAGAACTGAGCTATCTTCAAAATATTTAACTGGATGGCGTCGGTTGAGAGAAAATACAAAGAAACCACCGCATGCTACTGAATCCGGACGGTTCTTTTTGCACCTGAATCTATCCAATTGTGGGATTTTAACTGATGCATAAGCTAAGCCTATTACACCCTTGCTAAGCCTATTACACCTTGTCAAAGTGTTTAGCGCGCTGTCGTATGATGACTCACCGATTGCGATCCGGGAAATGTTCACCCGACGGGAGAGCGTATCGGCGAGATGCACGCGTGCCACCGACAGGGGTGACCTGCACCTGTGCAGATGTAATTTGAGTGCATCGCGGCATAGTTTCTCTCGCCGTGCAGCCTCAGCGTGGAACTCACTACCACCGCCTGTCCGGGAGGCGGCCACAATTAGAGCTTTTACGGCAGCGCTGAATGTCGAACAGCACATCGATATAATGTAGCGTGGTTCACTGTTTTATATATGTTTTATATCTGTTTTAAACACCATCTTTCTGCGTTTTTTAGTGTTTGGTTTTCGATGTGTATGGTTGTGGTTTTATATGCTTCATGTACTTGACGTGGAACAGTAATACCCAATTGTTTGGAATGTTCCAATACACTGAACTGAACTGAACTGAACTGAACAGGAGCTCTATTTGGATTACGTTTAGTGTGCAAATAACATGCCGTGTGCGGTAAACAACAATTTCAACTGGAATGCTGTCCACCGGTTCATCTTTATTGCATGAACTGAAAAGATCACACTGCTGAGACATAATGTGATTGTTTTCTATGCATTCTAGTTTGAGATCACTGCCAAAGCATTCCTAATCCCAAAATGCATCATGGATTATCCCGAAGGGATTAAGTTCACGATACTCGTCGCTAGATCAAATTTTACGAACCTTTTTTATTTTTGTCGTGTGACCTTGCTATGCCACCGATTAAGGCAAATGATGCCTCAAACGAAAGAGAATTAACCTAAATTTTGTATTTTCATGCGTAGAGCACCACTTTAGTCAGGTGGCCCCCGTTGTGGGTCGCACAAGAACGAGCACGAGAGATCACGTTCTTCGCTGCCACCAAGATCTCCCGATTTGCGAAACACCGGTGTCGCCATGCCCGTTGCTTGTCAGCTTCAGAGCCTTATTCCATAATGCGAGCCAGGAAACAGCGTATTGACCCCAGACCCCTAGCAAACATAAGCAACATAATGATTTACTGATCAGGAAGTCTTCTGAGATGTTATCACGCATCCACTACGAAAATAAGGCTCAGCTGCTTGAGCGCGCTCAGCAACAGCCCATTTTAATCCTTTGATTCGTCGCATTATTATGGGGCTAAGACAAATATCAACCTGTCGCAAATAGATGTCGCAAATGCTATTTGTGACAGGTTAACCCTCGCATGTGTAGGGGGGGTCGGATGGACCCCCCCATGGTTTTTCGCGAATAACTCGCGTAAAAAGCGGCCGATCGCGACGAAACTTTCAGTACCCTCGCATTGATCAATTTTACACCTACCCTGAAAATTTCATGACCCTGACCCAAATGACCTTTGACCTGTGACCTCTTTTCCGAGACCATGTTTGGCCGGAATCGCGATTTCGCGTATGTCGGCTCGCACTAGCCGCGTGTTTGCAAGCTTTTCGTGGTTTCAAACGTTCAAACATGTGATTTGATGTTACTCCCGTGTGTGTCAAGGTCACCTGAAGGTCAGGTCAGGTCATTGACCTTTGGTGACCTCGGGTGACCTCGGGTCACTTTTTCGAGTTTTACATGTTTCTAGGCTAGTTTTTGGAGCTGAATTCGAATTTAGCAACCATTTGAACATTTACGAAGTAGTTTTGGTGACTTCGTAACATGTTACGAAGCTGTCAGAGGCGGTTGACACGTACTACGAATACCCGTCACGACGCCTACTGGTTGACCTGACCTGACCTGACCCGACCTGGTCTAAATGCTTCAAGACATCATCTGTGATCAAAACTAACACGATATTCGTGATCAGCACCCCGAAAAACCCCTTAGCAGCCACACTTTACGACTTTCTAACAGGTCCCGATTTTCCCGACTTTGGGTCATTGACCTGACCTGGAAGGTCAACCAATGACCTAGGACCTTAAAATTGGGTATCATCGGCTTCCTCTCGTCACGGGCAACACGCTCGTTTTTTCCGCGAAGCTCTAGCTCGATCAGGGGCCAAACGGCAAGGGGGGGGTCCAACCGACCCCCCCCTACACATTAGAAGCTGGCAAACGCCGCACACATGCGAGGGTTAATTAACAGGTGTTAGCCCCATAATAATGCGACGAATCAAAGGATTAAAATGGGGCTGTCGCTGAGCGCGCTCAAGCAGCTGAGCCTTATTTTCGTCGTGGATGCGTGAAAACACCTCAGAAGACTTCCTGATCAGTAAATCATTATGTTGCTTATGTGTTCTTGGGGTCTGGGGTCAACGCTGTTTCCTGGCTCGCTTTATGGAATAAGGCTCTGAAGCTGACAAGCAACGGGCATGGCGACACCGGTGTTTCGCAAATCAGGAGATCTTGGCGGCAGCGAAGAACGTGATTTCTCGCGCTCGTTCTTGTGTGACCCCCAGCGGGGGCCACCTGACTAAAGTGGTGCTCTACGCATGCAAATACAAATCTTCAGTTACTTCTCTTTCGTTTGAGGCATCATTTGCCTTAATCGGTGGCATAGCAAGGTCACACGACAAAAATAAAAAAGCTTCAAGACTTCTGGGACACCCTATAGAAAAGCAGCCTGGTGACACGTTCAGCAACAACAGCGAAAAACCCATGTTCACCAAAAGACCGGAATTCGCTCGCCTTTTTGACGTATCGATAAAAGTTGGGAACCGGATGCATATTTGTAGGCACTTGTATTTACCTTCCAAAGTGCCCTCAATGCGGCCACAAAGGTTTATAAAGGCACCGCGCATCTGTTATCAAACATTATTCATGCAACGCCCAGTTAGGTAAATACCTAATTTTATATTTTATCAATGTTCAACAAAGGAAGCCTCCATTTTTTCCAGTTGCAAATACGCTGGAAACTCCAGACATTGTGCTTGACGTATGCTTAAAACATGATTAATCTATTTGCCCCGATAGCAAAGTGGTCCCCGGAATTTCTCACCTAATGGTAACTTTGAAAATACTTGCTGGTCATTCTAAAAATGTATTAAAATAAGTAAACAGTGATTTACTGCACGTGCACGCTGCACGGGACGGACGGTACCTCCCTGTAACCGGCACCAAATACCGAGGAGCTGCCGGCCCGAGGCACTGGGCAGTGACGCAGTGTGACCTCTGGTCACCGCGCCTGACTCAGAGCCATCCCAGCACGTTTGTACCGCGTACAGCGAGCTCAGGCATCTGGCCGGCTGGCTAATGACACGTTGTTCGCCGTCGCTGGCAGACAGTATCAGGAGGCACGCCATTGGATCGCCCCTGCTCTTCAACCCCGAGCCCGCATGCCGAGAGTGTATGTATGACGCCGACGTAAGATCACGAGCATTTCTACAAGGGGAATAACGCGGTCTAGCGCGATGAATTGAGCCAACCGATCGTTGTTTCACAGTGTTTGCTGTCTTTCCGAGGCTTATTACCTTGATTACAGTCGATTTTCAACCTCACACACTCGAACTGTCGTCATATGCGCCACCGTTTTGGTTGGTCGTTGAAGGAGAAGCCTCTCATTGGCTGGTCTCAAATGCGCGCCGGGCGCTTCCGCTGGATATAACCCTTCGGTCGATGTGCCTGTAAAGCTTCACAAATTGGACAGCCGGGCTGCCAGCCGGGTTGCCGATGAGAACCGGGCACCGCCCAGTTTCGGTCTGTGGAGACAGGCGATCGACCACAAATCGTCCGGCCAGCCTGGCACGGACGGCACGGGCCTCGCCGAATTCCCGGCCTCGGTGTGAAAGCTGGCTCACACGGAGCCGCTTGGGAAAATGTCTCGGTTTGGCGGTGCAATGTTTATGTGCATTTGCCCTTGTTAGAAGAGAGGAGGACATTCCGGATAAATATATAACTTTGCAGCTCACTGAAGCCATTTAAAGACAGGTATAGCTGGAAATGAGAAAGATGTTGTTGGTCAATGGTAGAAAGTTCGTTATTGGTAAACCAACCATTGCACAGTGGGGATTTTTCCGATCTAGCACGTCTTAATTCGTAGAGGGCAAACCATAGGTAGTATTGTAGCCAGATTGTTCACAGATGTTGGCTGGTGTGTTCTGGTGAGAATGTTTACCTGTAAATGTGCATAATCAACATAGTTTAGGGGGTTCAATTGGACCCCTGTCTCAGCCGTTTGGCCCCTGATCAAGCTAGAGCTTCGCGGAAAAATCAAGCGTGCTGCCTATGACGAGATGAGGCCGAATGTATCCAATTTCAAAGTCCAAGGTCATTAGTTGACTTTCCAAGTCAGTTTAATGACCCAACTAAAGTTGGGAAATCGAGACCTCTTGAAACTTCGTAAAGTTCGGGTGTGACGGGGTATTTTGGGGTGCTGATCACGAATTTCATGTTAGTTTTGATCACAGACGATGTCTTTATGCATTAAGGCCAGGTCGGGTCAGGTCAGGTCAGATCAACCAGTAGGCGTCCTGCCGGCCACCCATAGTAGGAGTCACCTACCACTGACAGCTTCGTAACATGGTACGATGGCACCAGAACTACTTCGTAAATATTCAAATGGTTGCTTAATTCGAAATCAGCACCAAAAACTACCCTAGAAACAAGTAAAACTCTAAAAAGTGAATCAAGGTCATCAAAGGTCAATGACCTTGACTTGACCTTCACGTGACCTTGACACCCACCATAATGCATGGCACCAACATCATTTCACATATTTGAACGTTTAAAACCACAAAAAGACTGGAAACCGCGGATAATGTGAGCTGGCATACGCCGAATCGCGATTCCGGCCAAACATGGTCTCGAGGAATATGCCACAGGTCAAAGGTCAGTTGGGTCAGAGTCATGAAATTTTTAGGTTAGATGTACAATTGATGATCTCGAGGGCACCGAAAGTTTTGTCGCTATCGGCCGCTTTTTGCGCGAGCAATTTGCGGAAAACCATGGGGTTTTATCCAACCACTTCCCCCTCCCCCTCCCCACAAATGCGAGGGTTAATAAGGTTACGGTATGTATAATTTACGCTTGCCATCCTATTCCTAATGAATGTGTCTCAGAAAATATGCATCATATAAATCAGGAAGTAAAATTATTCGCCTATGTCCGGAGCATACCTATATCGTGCTGTTTGCCCTAACGCTCCTAGAGTGGGGTATTAAGATACTCTAATGTGAATATTCCGTGTTCAGGCAAGTCCCGGCAGCCAAACTAGGCGTTGTCTTGTGCAGGAGAAAGTGGCGAATTCGATAGGATATGTTTTTGGAGTGGAAAAGTGTGGAAAACATTGTTGATTTCCTATGTACATTTATTTAGAATACCATTCCTTCAATATGGTGTCTGTTGTTTTTGTAAATGGCATTTTTGTGACCTTAGTAAGGTTGGGCATGCTTTCTGTTTGCCATTCCATTCCTAATAAAGGTGCCTTTCAGACGATATACAACTTTAAGACCTCGCAAGAATAAAACCAACAGGACAGGACAATGACATTGAGCTATACTTTCGGGCCTTACTGAGCCCATTGAGTAATCACGCATGAGTGTGAACTTTTGGCGCATTTTCCTAGTCTTGCTGTGGACATACAGATAAAACAATGCCATGCTATATGAAACATTCAGACATCTCTTAGCCCCACTGACACAAAAAAAAACAAAAATCCAAAAAAGATTTCTGGAATTAAGACGCGCTAGATCGGAAAAATCCCCACTGTGCCTTGTGGTCAAAAATAAGTTGACCATTCAACCATCAGCGATTTATGATGTAAGGAATGGGCAAATTTTAGATATGAGCGATATAACTGCATTTTGGTTAGTCTCAGCAGCTTCAACCGTGTGCCGCCCTACTACCGTCTATGTTATGAGGCAGCCGAATTCCGAGAGGAGCAAAAAGTAGCAAAAGTTGCAATGTAATTCTAACCTAGAATTGTTCAAAGAATCGAATGGTGTCAAATTTGTAGTGTCAACTTTTGTCGAAAGTTGTTGATTTTCTATGTTTTTCAAAACCGTACTGATAACTAAAACACCGTTTACAATATATCTTTTATTTGGCGTTTAGAACCCCGAAATTTGACAAATATATTATTGTAATGCATCCACATACTCCACAATGATGTGGCCATTAGACCATATGCCACTTGTCATGCTGGATATCATTGCTTTCCAGTTATAAGCCACAGAATCGCGTGCTTGTTTTCAGCATCCATTTCTACCCGGTGTGAAAAGTAAGCGATGCCTGACTTTGAGCTCATTTTTTCTACTCAACATCATTCTTAAGGGTAAAATGAGACATGTAACGTAAAAATTCAGACAATTTTACGCAAGATGAGCCCAAAAGAATGATTTAAGAGAGAAGTCGGTTCTGGGACTTAAGACAGGCTAGATCGGGAATATCCCTACGGTGCATTGTAACGGTATGCTTAGATTTTGTAACACTGAATACCTACCTACATACCCTTTCACCATGTTCCAGCAAATACCGAGAGATCAACTTTCAGACGCATTTTCACATCTTTCATCAGCTCACATGTCACATATCCATTCCGTCTTTCGTCAGCTCTATGAATTCAGTGCCGGGGAGATCCGTACCATGCCAAACCGTGCTTACGCCGCAGCACCGGACCCCTCACGGTGCCGGCCACCCGGCCCGGGCGGCTCCTGGAAGCCGTGTTCGTGACGCGTGCTGCCCCGCGGCTGTCGTGCCGTGCAGCTGACACCTGACCGCGGCCGTGCCCTGGGGGCATGTCCAGCTCGGTGAGCCGGCCGTCTTCCCCGCCCCGCCCCGCTCGGCCGCCGCGGCCGCCGCGGCCAGCCAGCCCGGTTATGACGGTTTTATGCGATCTGTTTATAGTGGGCTCGGCATTGAGTGGGCCGTTGGAACGCGGGAGGCGATATCTGAATAGCTTTTCTTCGGATCTGTTCTCCACGGCTGTGAATTGCCCGGCGGCGATCCTGTGGGGAATTTGTTCGGCTGCCGGCGAACGCGACGGTTGGGCGTTGGACGGACGCTGCACCGGCCCTGAGGCCACGGGCACTGCTGGGGTGGGTACTATGAGACGGGCTTGACTGAAGTAGACATTGAGCTGAACCCGCTGGGCCCTCTACATACATTTTAATTTAACGGTACATCTGAATGCTGTGGTTTTGTCAATAAATAATGTCAACCGTTAATAGTTATCATCTGCGCGGCGATTATAGTTGTCTATCTTTTTTTACAGTACCTACATTTCCAGGCGTGTTACATTATTAAAACAAACAACCGAAGCATTTGAAGAAAAGTCGCATAAGGTATTCACTTAACTAAATAATTACTAATTAAAAGTCACATGTGATGAGACACTGAAAAGGGTAAAATCAATTTCATAATCGGGAGAAGGCGCAACTGACCAATCAAATAGTGTTCAGTTGTATGTAAATTAAATGATCGATTAGTGCACTAAATTTCTTTATTTTTGCCAGAATGATGATACAAATATTATTTATCATAGACCTCTGTATTTATACATACATTTTTTAATGCTATATGATATTTTTTATGTTTTGTCTTGTAAACAATGTAACATCATTAACTTGTACCTTGTTTGGCAAAAAAAGTATGGGACCGACAGCAGCGAATCATAGCACAGCGACTTCGACATCAAATAGCACAAGAACGTCTATCCCGAAACCACGTGCAGCATATGTCAAAATAAAAATAAAATCGGAGCAAGAGGGTCAAAGGCAAGGTCAAAGGCCTGCCGCCCTCTTGCTGCCGCCTGCTCTGTTCGTTCGCGTGGGGGAGGGCCTTGTGCGTAGCTTTTTATAATATGTTCACCTCTCAATATCCGTGCATCCTTAAAGTCAAATTACATATCATAGACGTATATCATTGATAAATGTAAACCAATAGGGACATCATGGGTCCGTCTTGCTTTGTTGACCCGTGAAACGGCGATTTTTATTTACAAAATTGAATTTATAATGAACATTAGCTCAGGCTTCAAGTGGCTCCTAACTAAACTTACAGCCGTATAATGGTTTCAAGAGGTTGAATCATTACAAGCAGCTAAGCATAGAATATTGATAAGTCCAAAGTGGAAACTGATTCTGCGCTGACGTTCACTGCTTTTATTTTCGTTCGAACGGGTCTGCTTTTCTTTTATTTCTCACAATTTTTCACATGAAGGTAAATGTTTTGAGCATTCCTTTCTTGGATGTGGATATCTGCGCACCATGACGTGTTTTATCGTATTTAAAACGCATTTAAAGGTATTGATAATTGCTAACTATGAAGAAATTTGGTGATCTACATAAGACAAGACACGCAGACCAACATGGCCGATATCGTGGACATTGAAGATGTCAAGGTTTCTTCGGGACGGCAAAGCCAGCAAACCTTTCATTCCGTGAGTGGGCGACATCTCTCCCGCGCATGATATCTATCGATCTAAAATCTATACTTATAGGGGATGTGGGATACCTATTTTGTACAAATACTTGAAGATGTACTTTAATGTAACAAGTTTATTTCGCTTAAGCTAGATTAGAAGATGCTGGTGCTCCTTTTTGACTCTTGTAGACGTTCCCGATGTTTTTATGAACACCGAATCATGGGCTATTTTGATATTCTATTGATGTATTTTATTTTACCTATTTATTATTCATTATATGTATTACGCTGCAGAAGGTACAGTCCACAGCAAAAGTAATGTGGGGTTTCAGTCATGGGTATGTTCTGCTTCTGAAGCTTAGGGACGATTAGCCAGACTACAGTGAAACTTTGAATGTAGCTTATATGTATCGTCACCCTTGCAGCTGCAACTTTAGCTATTGACATCTTCTTTTCGATCACTCCGCATTTAACAATCGCCAGTCAAAGCCAACCGTTGAGATTGGTAAAACCCTACATTACTTTAGCGGTGGGCTGTACTTACTACTTTTTGCGTTGACATGTTACGAAATCCATCTATTCCCCTCGTAAGTCCTGTACCACTATGCCATTTTTACTCTCTTTGTGACTCTTCCTCGATATTTTTCACGCAGACCGGATCGTGTCCGGCCGCGTGTCCCGATGGCGGGGCCAGGAGCGTGTCTCAGGCCTCAGGCGGGGGTGCACCGGAGCCTACTGCCACCCCTCCGCCGGTCCGCGCTGGGAAGGGACTCTCGCTGTGGATGGCCGCTGTGTTCATCATGGGCGAGATGTGTGGGAGCGGTATGCTCTCACTGCCGTATGCACTCACACACATGGGTAAGTGGCTTGCGCTCCACATAGTGCACATCACTGTTCCGTATGTTCTCGTAAATGTATAATGTTTATTTCAGTACTCTTGTCTATCTTCAGTATATTTTTTTTCTGTCATAAAGGAGGTCGACATATAACAACTTCAGTTAGCACAATCAGAAGCTAACGTTAAGTTAGGTAGACGTGATTTGGGTAAGAATTTATCTTTTTAAAATGTTTATTAGCATTAGAACCCTGGGTCGCTCAACCATGACAGGGTGATTCTTCCTATTCCAAGGCCACTCTTCATGTATTTGCCGCAGGTTTCATGGGCGCTCCTCTGATCGGTCTGATCGGCCTCGGCTCCGGCTACTGTGCCTGCTGCCTGGCCCGCTGCTGGGTGCTCCTGGAGAACCGACACCCGGAGCTGCGGGGGCAGCACACGCAGCAGCCGCTTAGCGACATAGCCTTCCACTGCCTCGGGAAGCCCGGCAGGTCAGACACCTACAGCCTCACAGGTTACCTCTTACTCGATATTTAGCTCTGAATACGTGAGCCCTTCGCTGCAAAACCATCGCTGGACGATAGGAACTTTCGCTTTCTCATTCAAGGACTCTTACACCACACGCATGCATTGAGCTTTATAAGCCACTGAGCATAATCCAGTTGCCTTCCTTTCTTCAGGATTTTCGCCGCTGTCTGCATGTGCATCAACACGTTCGGCACGTGCATCGTGTACGTGCTGATCGTGGCGCAAATGCTACAGGCGCTGCTGGGCGGCCACATCCAGATGCACTACTGCATCTGGATCCTGGTGCTCTCCGTCGCTCTGGTGCCGCCCACCTGGTTCGGATCGCCAAAAGATATCCGGTGAGACGAACTCTTACTTAAGTGCAGTTCTGTGGGAGAGTTGATCGTAAGATGCAACCCGTTTTGAAGCTTCCGCTCTTCTATCTAAACTCTCTATCTCAGATCTAAACGTTTTCCAATTCAGTAGAGCATCATTCCAGTCGTTTTTGGTTAATTAGCTCTGTTAAGACTATGTCGTGTCCGCGTTTGCGGCACCGTTCACAGAGGGATCGGCGTGATGGCGCTGGCCACCACGGTGCTCGCCTGGTTACTCTCCATGGGACAACTGGCCGTGCACTTTGACACGCTGCACCAGAACGCAACATTCACCCAGCCCGGCTTCCTGCCGTTCTTCCTGGGCATCGGGCCGATCCTGTACAGCTACGGCGGCGCCTGCACGCTGCCCACCATCCAAATCGACATGATCAACAGGGAGCACTTCACTTACTCCGTCATGCTCGGATACTTAGGTGAGTGTCAAATGTGCGGTGGTATCGCAAAGGTGAGTTGTGGACTGTAGTGTGATGACTTACGAGCAGAACCAGATGGATGGATGGTGTTGGTGACTGGATCATGGCACAGCTCGTGAAAAGATGCTACGGTGCAGATATTTAAGGAAGATAACAGACAAAACTCACAACAGCCCTATGCACTATGCAGTGAAGCGTAGCAAAAGTTCTTTGCTAATAAGGTTGTGTCAAAAAAAGATGTCATACCTGACGTAAGTTTTTTTCTGCTCTTGACCAGTGCACGCTGACATTGGGCAAAATACAAAGGTGATTTAACCCGCGCCGTGCTGGTGGCCTGAACTTTCCGCCGAGTGCTGGGGGGGGGCGTTTTCACGCCCCCCCATCTAACTCGGCTCCTGGGCCACGTAGCGACACGCGGTAAGCGGCAATCGAAAGAGCGTCAAAAATAAGGACGAAAACACTTCGGTCATTTTTTGGGTCAGGTCAAAGGTCAGGTCACCAGAGGTCACCAAAGGTAAAATGTTGACTATTTCAACATTTTGGAAACTGCCAACGGCTATCTCGGGAACCGATAGAGCTACAGCGCCGCGGAAAAGCGCATTCGATAGCCCTTTTACAGACCTTTCTGAGTAATGTTCTCAGATTTGACCTCAGGTCAACGGTTTAGCCTCCAGAGGGCAAAAACTCCAAAAATAGCCGTTTTTACGAAAAACGTTTTTTCGTCAATAACTTTTGACTCATAAGCGCCATGACATTACTTTTGCCAGCATCGTGTTCCTCTCGTCGAGACGCGTCGAATGAACTATTCGTTGACCTTGAAAGGTCATTTTGAAAATTTGACCTCAGGTCAAGGTCATGACCTGACCGAAAAGGGTCATGTTGCATATCCGTCGATCCGTATCGTCGAGCTGAACACATCTGACGTGTTTTCACCGCTCTAGCACGTCTCTATCAAAAGTTATAGCCAAAAAACTGCTGGCGACCAATCATGACCTGAGATGACCTCAGGGGCACACAGAGGGGTCACTGGTGCATTTTTCCTATTCAGTGTGTCATGTTTACCTATGAACCGATGTTTGAGAGCGTTTTGAACGATATTCGTCCAAAAGAGGCGCATTTCAATTTTCTCCCATTGACTTATAATGGAGAGGTCGCAAAATTGACCTGACCTTAGGTCACAGATATCAAAAATCCGAGATATACATTTTATACATACTGTTACTCATATCAATCGCTGAAAGTTTCAAAGTGATCGTTCAGTCGGTGTAGCTATAGCGAGCCTTTGAACTTTTTCTGAGGTAAGGTCACTTGACGTGACCTGGTGACCTGACCTTGAACGGTCTAGGTCTGAAATTTTCACAACATGTGCGGAAATGATGTAGGAACACGTGTACCAAAAACGGCGGCGCTGCGCGCCGCCGTTTTTGAGATATTCGCGAAAAACCTGAGGGGGGGGGGGCGTAAAAACGCCCCCCCCAGCACGGCGCGGGTTAAAGTTGCAGCAGCCTACCAAATACATCCTGCTCAAATAATATACCTTTGTACAGATTACAATGATACGAGGCCGTTCAACCAGGCGTGAGATGTTGATATGTAAAAAAGACGTGATACGGTTAGATTGATAAGATTATACTCGGAGATTCAAGATCAAAGCGCTGTTCGTGCCTTTCGAACTCTGCCTGCACATCTGAACCGCCCACACTGAAAACTTTTTTTACCATTTCCTGAAGGGTAAACCCGCCATAGCATGGTAGCTTGACACAGACGTTTTTTACCACCTTCCAGATGGTAAATTTTACTCTTTCATGAAGAGTAAACTCGCCAGGGAGGGGTAACATGACACACAGACGTTTTTTACCATCTTCTGAATGGTAAACTCTTTTGATTTACTCTTGTCTAGAGTGTAACATTTTTTGGGTTACACTCTTTGAAAGGGTAAATCTTTAACGGAACCCTTTTTTAGGGAGTAACGCATCATCTACTCTGTGCTTTACCCTCCTACAGAGAGTATATTCTTATGGCCTACCCTTTGTCACATGGTAATGTTTACTCCTTCCTTTAGTGTAAACCCCCCAGAGGATGGTAACAGACCCACAGACGCTTCCTTCAGAAGCTTCACGAAGCTTCTGTTAACCGGAGCTCACCAACTAAAAAAAAAATGTTTCAAGAGCAACAATGTAGGTATATTTGGCTTCCGTACAAACAATACGAGGGGCACACCAACCATGAACATTGTGAGACTCTTCACTTATTCATACAAATTTATACAAAGCGTTCAGCAATGCACAAGCGGTAAATAAACACCACGATACAACTTGAATGCAATTTGAATATGAATACAAGACATTCAGCGCCCTCATATTGGATTAGGCAGAGCGCACAATATTCAACATGCACCGTGACATCGCCCGTCTCCTGGTTCTGCTCGCCGTAGTGCGGGTACTGACCGTTGTGGCCTGCCCGGCACCAGCGCCGCCATCCAGGTCTACACTTCGAGTGGCGGATCACCAGCTCAGGCACCATCTCACCAAAAGAAAACTTGCTTTCCCACGGAACTTTTCTCGGCTTTCATCGAGCTCTCCTAGTGATTTGGCCCCAGCTCTAGCCACCCAACGGCTGCCGGCATTTGAATCTTCCCGAGCCCCAGGGACGACGGACCGCGCCCCCGCGCCGCGCGCAGAGCCCCACGGACGCCAGCCGGCGGCCGTGTCGCCTCACCCTCCCCTCCAGCTGAGAGCCCCGCCGGCCCGCGGGGGTGGGGAGCGGCCGATCGCGCTGCCCGCGTCCCACGGTGCGCCGCCGGCAGCCCAGGCCCCGCCCACCAGCGTCTCCTCGCGCCCCAAGCCGGCCCGCAGCGGCGGACGCCGTCCACAACGCCGCGGCGCCCGCGGTGGCCGCGGCAGGGGCAGGAGCCGACCGGAAACGACAGGAAACCACCATCGGAATCTTCGTATCGGAAGCTTGAATATTCAAAGCCTTAAGCCTAAACTATTGGACCTGACCTATGAACTTCGCCAAAACAATTACGATGTCGTACTACTGTCGGAGACCTGGCTACGCCCTTCTACGCCAAACAGACTTTTAGTGCTCCCTGGCTACTCCCTTAGCCGCACAGACCGACCTGATGGCCGCGGGTACGGCGGCGTCGCAATCGCTACAAAATCGGATATCACATCAGTGCCCATCAAGTTCCCAAGTTTTGAGCGCGGCTGCAGCCAGCTCGAGTCAAAGTGGGCGCTGCTCAAGCTCGACAAAGGTCGTCAACTCATCGTATGTTCTTTATACCGCCCCCCTCGCCACTCCGAAACCGCTTTATGTGCCGATTTCGCCGACCTTGAAAATCAGTTACAAAGAGTACTTATCGATCACCCTAGGACCCCGCTCGTCATCTGCGGTGATATAAACTGTGACCTGCTGAAGAAAGAACCCAACTTTCGTGCACGACAGCATCTCAGCAGCTTCCTATCGGACTACTCCCTAGACCAGCTAGTAACAACTCCGACTTTCACTTCCGGTTCGCTCCTAGACGTGTGTATGGTGAACAAAGTGGACCTCTTCTCTAACACCCGTGTTGAGTTTTGTCATTTTAGTCCGCATAAATTTATTAGCGTAGATGTCAATGTCCCCAAACTGCGTCCGAAGCCTACAATCATCTCAGCTCGTTCGCTCAACCGTGTTGATGTCACTGCCCTTAATTCTGATCTGGAGCTTGTCGACTGGGAGCCTGTGTTTACCGCCGCGACTGTTAGTGATCAGTGGGATGCATTCGTGTCCAATTTTTTGCCTATTATCGACGACCACGCCCCACTCAAGCGCATTACCATTCGGAACCCCACAGCGCCCCCGGCCTCTGCTGTCACACGGAACCTTATGTCCCAGCGCCGCGCCTCGCTACGACTGTCCGGTCGTCAGTCGACAGCTTACAAGGAGCTGAATCGCTCTGTTCGGGCCGCGCTGCGTCGCGACCGGCGAGAGGAGCTTCAGAGAAATATCTGCGAGCGGGGTCCCAATAAGGTCTGGCAGTCTATCAGGACAGTTGTAGCAGGGAAAAAGGACGGTCCTAGTGTGCAGCCTAATTTACCCGCCGATGAACTAAATTCATTTTTCGTCTCTGTCGGACCTCGCATCGCTGCGGAGGTCCGGTCTCTTAACACCACTACCGATCTGAACGTTCGCCTCCCCCGGGTCGGTGCTTGTCGTTTCCAGCTCCGCGCGGTCACTCTCGGCGAACTCGGTCACACTATCTTCGGCATGCGCAACTCAGGCGCCAGTGGGACTGATGGCATTTGCATCCGAATGTTAAAGTCCGGCTTCTCAACTATCGGTCGCGTCATACTTTACATTATCAATACGTGTATTACCAACTCCGATATCCCCGATTCCTGGAAACATTCCACAGTCCACCCAATCTTCAAATCTGGCAGCCCCTCAGATCCCACCAACTTTCGACCAATCTCATTAGTCCCCGTGATTATGAAGGTTGTGGAACGCCTTGTACATCAACAGCTTTACCACTACCTCTCAAATAACTATCTCCTTGCCTCCTCGCAGCATGGTTTTCGCCCCCGACACTCCACAGAGACCGCTCTGCTGTCCGTCACAGACCAAATCCTCGCAGCCTCTGATAGGGGAGAACTTTCACTGCTGTGTCTCCTTGATTTGAGCAAATGCTTTGATGTCATCGACCACGACCTTCTACTTCAAAAACTGGCTATGCACGGGATCGAGACCACTTGGTTTTCTGCTTTTCTCACGGGACACACCCAGAGCGTGTCCCTATCTAACGGCGCCGGAGGTAGAGAACTGTCGCGGCCGCTTCCAAATAATATGGGCGTCTTCCAAGGATCTGCCCTGGGACCGTTACTCTTCACCATATTTTCGAACAACCTCTCGCTATACGCAGGTGACGCCACCGTTTTCCAATATGCGGACGACACCCAGGTTCTAGTGAGCGGCCGTGCCGACGACCTCAGATCGCTTATCTCTCGCATGGAAGCTTC